TCATCGATGTCCACAAAAATGGCGGCCACAAGCAAACCCATTCAACACCTGCGTTTGTGGCTCCATCCTTCAATGGACCCACAAAAAGGAGAGTCCAGAGGAGTCAGCACTGAAGTTGAATACCTTGGTCTTCGTGGATCGTTGAAGGGGCCCATGACAAATCACATGTACTCCACCAAAATCGAAATCGATCGCACAGCAAGGTCAGGGATATTGACCCGCGCCGAATCAGGAACATTTCCATCACATCGAGGCCCATGGCTTGCAACGCCTCCCCAACAATGAGGGCACATCCCTGAACCATGAGCAGGAAATGCGCAGCATCAATGTCACGACGCTTCGAATCCTGCAGAACACGGTCTGCCAAGGCCAGTGCGGGACACTGTGGTGTCCCCTCGTCGACGCCGATCGGCGCTCGCACACCCAGTCGGGCCCAGGCTCCCGTAAGCCCCAGCGTTAGCGGCTCGAGAGTATGACTATTTGTATATGTAATCAAAGGAAGTTTAGAAGGAACTTCCGTGTTACGGACATTCAACAGCTGTTCAACCGCCACTCATCATACACCACTCATCAGATTTCGTGGCAGGTGCAGCAATTTGTGAACCTCCATGTGCAGATTTCGTGGCAGGTGCAATACAAAATGCGTTTTCGAGAGATAGCGGACGCACGAAATGCTGCGTTTTTCAATAGAACCGGTGGCTTCGAACCTGGCAAGTCTAGCTCTGCGGAACGACTGTTGCGAGACGGTCTCGGGTCATGCTCGGTCGGCCGTCCATTGTGATTAGGTTTTCACTTGTCTCTTGAAGTGCAGATTTCGTGGCAGGCGCAGCACTTTGTGAACCTCCATGTGCAGATTTCGTGGCAGGCGCAGCACTTTGTGAACCTCCATGCGCAGATGTCGTGGCAGGTGCAGCGCTTTGTGAACCTCCAGGTGCAGATTTCGTGGCAGGCACAGCACTCTGTGAACCTCCAGGCGCAGACTTCGTGTCAGGCACAGCACTTTGTGAACCTCCATGCGCAGATGTCGTGGCAGGTGCAGCACTTTGTGAACCTCCAGGTGCAGATTTCGTGGCAGGCACAGCACTCTGTGAACCTCCAGGCGCAGATTTCGTGTCAGGCACAGCACTCTGTGAACCTCCAGGTGCAGATTTCGTGGCAGGCGCAGCACTTTGTGAACCTGCAGGCGCAGCTTTCATGTTAGGCACAGCACTTTGTGAACTTCCATGTGCAGATTTCGTGGCAGGCACAGTACTTTGTGAACCTCCATGCGCAGATTTCGTGGCAGGCACAGTACTTTGTGAACCTCCATGCGCAGATTTCGTGGCAGGCACAGCACTTTGTGAACCTCCATGTGCACATTTCGTGGCAGGCGCAGCACTTTGTGAACCTCCATGTGCAGATTTCGTGGCAGGCGCAGCACTTTGTGAACCTCCATGTGCAGATTTCGTGGCAGGCACAGCACTTTGTGAACCTCCATGCGCAGATGTCGCGGCAGGCGCAGCACTTTGTGAACCTCCATGCGCAGATTTCGTGGCAGGTGCAGCACTTTGTGAACCTCCAGGTGCAGATTTCGTGGCAGGCACAGCACTTTGTGAACCTCCATGCGCAGATTTCGTGGCAGGCACAGCATCTGGGGAGCTGGAAGCTGAGAACTGGCGACTTTGTAGTACAACTTTAGTGCGCGGAGTATCTGGCGAGCTGGACGACGAGAACTGGCGACTTTGTAGTACAACTTTAGTATGCGGAGTATCTGTGGAGCTGGAAGCTGAGAACTGGCGACTTTCTAGTACAACTTTAGTACGCGGAGCAATCTGTGCAGCTAGAAGCTGAGAACTGGCGACTTTGTAGTACAACTTTAGTACGCGGAGTATCTATGGAGCTGGAAGCTGAGAACTGGCGACTTTCTAGTACAACTTTAATACGCGGAGCAATCTGTAGAGCTGGAAGCTGAGAACTGGCGACTTTCTAGTACAACTCTAGTACGCGGAGCAATCTGTAGAGCTGGAAGCTGAGAACTGGCGACTTTCTAGTACAACTTTAGTACGCGGAGCAATCTGTAGAGCTGGAAGCTGAGAACTGGCGACATTGTAGTACAACTTTAGTACGCGGAGTATCTGGCAAGCTGGACGATGAGAACTGGCGACTGTGTAGTACAACTTCAGTACGCGGAGCAATCTGTGCAGCTAGAAGCTGAGAACTGGCGACTTCGTAGTACAACTTTAGTACACGGAGTATCTGGCGAGCTGGACGAGGAGAACTGGCGACTTTGTAGTACAACTTTACTACGCGGAGTATCTGTGGAGCTGGATGGTGAGAAATGGCGACTTTCTAGTACAACTTTAGTACGCGGAGCAATCTGTAGAGCTGGAAGCTGAGAACTGGCGACTTTGTAGTACAACTTTAGTACGCGGAGTATCTGTGGAGCTGGATGGTGAGAACTGGCGACTTTCTAGTACAACTTTAGTACGCGGAGCAATCTGTAGAGCTGGAAGCTGAGAACTGGCGACTTTGTAGTACAACTTTAGCACGCGGAGTATCTGGCAAGCTGGACGATGAGAACTGGCGACTTTGTAGTACAACTTCAGCACGCGGAGCAATCTGTCTAGAAGCTGAGGACTGGCGACTTCGTAGTACAACTAGAGTTGTACTGGCGAACAGTGTAGTACGCGGAGGAGTCATCTCTCGCTGCTGAGTCAGCTCTCGCTATAGGCATCTCTCGCGGCTGAGTCATCTCTCGCGACTGAGTCATCTCTCGCTGCTGAGTCATCTCTTGCGGCGTGCACGTTCAGTTCATACTGATAGTATTTGGTTGCATTTATGCAGGACAGGACATTCAACTGCTGGTCAATACACCACTCATCATACACCACTCAGCATACACCACTCATCATACACCACTCGTCATACACCACTCATCATACACCACTCAACATACACCGCTCGTCATACACCCCTCTTGTCGTGGCAAAGATACAACCCAGTACGCTGTTGTGAGCTGCTGATCCTGCAGGGGGCACGAGCGCGTGCGTTTGACTGGAGGACGCGCATGTTGTAGAGAACGTGGACACTCCTATAGGTCAATTTCTTCTTATATGAAACTTCCGCCGCCGGCTTGCCCGGGAACTACTTGTATACTTATATAAATCTTTTTAAAAAGAAAATAGAGAGAGAGAGTAGCTTCGGGAAGGGGGTTTTCCTCTTGGGTTCAAGTGTCAGCGAGCTGACCTTTTCAGGGTATGGGTGGGCCTTTGGCCATGGTGGTTAGACTGGCGGTGGCCGCGACCTTGTTGGTTTGCGGCCGAGAGTGTTCAACACGACCGCACCCCCGCGGCCAGACCCCCCACGCACACACCTGGAGGACAGCTTTCCGAGCGCGGGTCTTTGGTTGGATGTACTGACCCAAGGATCAGAACGCACCTCATGGTGGGCAGCCAACGCTCAGCAGCATAGCTTTGACTGGGGGCTCTGGACGTTGGCCGACACCCTCGTGAGTTTCCTGGGCTGGACTTTCTTTGGCAGCGCTTGGGCTGGACTGTTCCAGGGTTGCGTGTTGCTCGGATGCCGCGTCGTAGCCCATTACATTTGGGCAGTCTGCTGGCCTATCGTCTCCTTGGTTTGCGCCGTGGTGATGACCCTGGTGTGGTTGGCTAGGCGGGTGCTCCGTCTTCTGGGGACCTGCGTATTCTTCGCTCAAAAGTGGTTGGGCGGCACACCGGAGGAGGCCGCCGACTACTACGGACCTGAACTGGACAAGTGCCTGAGACCTCCGAGCTGAGGAAGTTTAAGTTCCACGGCAGCTAGGACAAGTGGGTGGTCATCAAGCGGGACAATGCCACGGCGGTCTTCAAAGTTTCTTCGGAGGTGGCCCCATTCGCTCCAGTGGTGTCTATGTCGGGATCAAGGTGGACACTCTGAGAGGATCTCCCCAGCTGCTTCAAGAATTGCTTAGGGTTGACAAGGTGCATCTGCGTCGCAATGAAGATTGCGCTGAACCTGGTCACCACTTCAAGGTCTATGGCCTGACCAAGAAGGTGGACTTTGAGGACTTCAACATGCGCAAGGCCAACGCGGAAGCCCGCACCTGGATTTGAGGTTGGGCCTGGGGATGTTCCAAAGCGCTGGTGGCCCGAGCAAGAGACCTGGCCTCGGAGGCTGAATGTGAAGATGAAGCGTGCCAGGCTCACAAGGTGTTCTGGAGTACGGAACACGGGGAGTCTGCGGCCGACTTCGTGCAGGTCATGGATGCCGAGCTGGACGCCTTTGCTTCGGAGTCTCGGACCACCAAGCAACAAGGAGAACAACATCCGGCACCACCAGTGAGGCTTGATGATTGGGTCTCGAGGGTAACACGGCAGAACCAGGTGTGGGCCCTCACGTACGGCATGGAATTCCTTGAGGTGCGGCAGCACGCGCTGGAGCTGATGAGTGGCTGGCGTCAAGAACTCCCTCATAAGTGGCCCTTGCAGATTGTCATGGACGCTTGGGAAGAACTCCACTGGAGGTTCATCGAAGAGATGAAGGAACTTCTGAGGCAGTTGAAGAAAACCGCCAAGCGTGAGTCTATGTCGTTGTCGGAGATTCGTTTTCACGCTTTGCTGCCAGGGCCCCGATGGCCGAGCCTGGTTGGAGTTGCCGAGGACGTTCGATCTCCTCAATCCATCTGGGTGGTTTAAGGTGGAGCTAGAACCCCAAAGAGAGAGAGAGAGAGAGAAGACAAGAGAGGGCATTGTGGCGCCTTACATGGGGTGGAGACCGCAAACAAGGGCCTGGGTTGCATGCAGGTGGAAAAGAAGGTGTAGAAGACAGCAAAGGAGGAGGAAAAGCCACTCCCGCTATGTTGGGCCCAAAGCTAAGCCATTGAATGGATCCATGGGACCTACCCCTGGTGTCTGATTCAGACAAGCTGTCCGTGGTCCAGAACTGGACCGTCGTCTACGCAAACTTCAAATAACTCGTTTTTCATTCTTGGAAGCAATTTGTCAGAACTCTGAGGTTTGAACTAGGGCAGATGATGGCCTCGGCCGAGATGAACAAAAGGCGCATGCAAAATCAACTGGCCTTCTGAACTGAGAAATGGGCTGGCTTCCTGAAGCCGATCGCAAGGCGTCATCAGCCTCCAGATGCATTCTAACCAGTGGCTGAAATGCGCATCGGGGGGTACTGCTTTGAATCACACCTGTCCATGAGCTCTTCGGCTGGAATCGGCCTCTGCTTCATCAAATACCGAAGTATTGGGTCGAGGCAGCTCTGAAGGTTCCTTCAAGTTCCTCTAGACTTGAGATTGATATTAGGCGCTCCAAACAGTGCAAGCTGAGGCTACCACAGGCTGGACCTTTGTGATTCTTATTGGAACTCGAACCGAAAAACGGCACTCACTCTTTGTGTTGCCTTTGAAGTAGCAAGGATAGCAAAGACATCAAACACAAGTGCAGTTTTGCATCCTAAAAAGAAAGTTTGCATGAAAGCAATAAAAGGAAACACTCATGTGCTGGCGGTCCCTGCATTTTGCATTGATTGCGAAGGCCTTACGAGCACACTGTTCTGATGCGGAGGTTACACCTATGAACATTGTTCTTAGCACATTAAACGACCTGCCCCTGCCCTCAACAAAAATGCTCAACGAGTCGTGTTTAAGGATCTGGCAGTTGGGCCTGCACCTTGCAACTTCAAATGCGGTGCAATCAATCTTACAGCATCTTCTTTGTGCCAATCAAGAAACAGCCGCAGCTGCAGCTGCAGCAGCCGCTGCAGCAGCCAAACCAGTTTCCTGCCAGCTGCCAACTAAAAACAATCAACACTAAACGTAAGTACCGAGGAAGAATCTTGACACAAGCTGCCTCTTGCATGGGTGTAGGGGCGCCATTGAGCAAAGGGCCGTCAGCAGGAATTTCTGCCCGGCAAGTGGGGCATACCTGAGCATGGCTGAATCTTTGTCTCACTATAGCCTGCACGAACGCGAACAAGTGACAGAAAGGCAAGGCCAGTCAAAAAAGAGACAGGGGAGAAGGATATTGTCTCGGTAAACGCCATGCCAGAGGGAAGAACTCCTATCACCTACAGCTTTCAGCTACTGTATCCGGGGAGAAGGGAGATGAATTGGAACTTCTCGAATCTCGCTCGGCTAAGGCAAGCACGAGTAGAAGAATACGGTATATAATAAATTGCATGTTTTGCAAACGGCACGTAAGCGTTCATTACTTTGGCATGCTGTATCCTATCAATCACAAACCATGCCTGCTGCATAACGAGCCAAGATTTTAGGCAGTCCTCAAACAGCTTTCACAAAGCTGGAAAAGTCAGAGTTGGGAAGTCTGGGAAGCTAGCTATGTGGAAAATGTGGTTGCATGACAGCTTCTTGGGCTTGGAGCCGTCAAACAAGGAATCCCGACCTGACTGTGTACTCTGAGTGGACTGAGCAATCTTGCAACATCTTTCACGTAAGTGCAACCAGTTAATTCTGTTCAAAGTTGCAAATGACGCAGTGCTCGTTTTCTTCGATCTCAGCATCTGTGGCCTCAGTGTTTCAAGCAACATGCAGAAACTAAAGGGCAATTGGCACATCCTCGCACATTCGTGGGCGCCCTTGCATCAGGGAACCGCAACTCCATATTTCGGGAGATGCACCGGTAGCGGCGAAAGCTTCGCAACCGCTGTGCCAGCTTTCGAGCCACCTGTACCGAAGCAAACCAAGCAAACCTCCAGGTAAATGCCCAAAATTCAGTGTGCCAACACTGTGTTCAAGTGTGCTCTCATGTCTTGTCGCCTGGATGACATCGGCCATCATGTAGATCGGCAGCCGAGACGGATTTTGCACGAAAAACGTGAGCATGAAGATCTGGCCCAGAACAATTTCGCAAACTCCGGCGATTAGAAGTGGACGTTGACCAGGTAGCAAACCACAGCCGTGTTTCCGAGGGCAGGGCCAAAAACAGGGTCATAGAAACAACGTCATGGATGAGATCTACGTAGAAAAGGCACACCTGGAGCAAAACAAGTGTTCTACATGGCCAACACACAAGCCCACGCTGAGGAGCCAGCTGATTTTGCTGGCCAGCCATTCTCCAGCCTGTAGGCATCAGAAACACCCCAAGTATTGGGGGCATGCTGCATTCCTGATTTTCGTGCATCTGGCATATGCAGTGGAATGTCGCAGTTGGTGACAAGGGCTCTTTGGCCTTATAGTATCCTTGGAAGCATTGGGGTTTTGGGCATCACTTCCTCAGGTCCCCAGTTTCATCATTTCGTAGCCAACAAGTGCTTGCTGCGGGTTCTGGAATGGCCCACGTTGGATCCATGCCGCTCGGAATCAACTCCTTCACTCTGCTCAAGACTTTGCTTGGGACCAATTGCTTCAAAACTGGCGTCTGGCGTGCCACTTTTGGGAGCCCACTCATTGCCTGTGAATCGCCCTGATGAACAGTTTTGCGTGCTTTTTTCTACATTACATGCACCCTTTGAGTACTATTTAACGTTGACATGTTCCTGGACAATTCCAACACATGCGCTGAGGATTTCAACAAATGTCATCGGGTGAGGTTCAAGCTGGATTTGATCGAGGGTGCTCATTGGAGTCGGCGGCTAATTCGCTGCCAGCTACAGCACATTCATGTTTCTCGAGATCTTCGATGTGCATTTCGACTGCACAAGATCGCAAAAGCTGCTGGAGGAGAAAGTCCTTTTCCTCGACTGCGCTCGTTGCGCTGCAGCACACCTTCTCGGGCATCGTGATCACTTTTACTCGCAGTCGCAAAGGAACCCTCATGCTTTGTGGCTTCAAGCCGACTTTTCGTTGCAAGTGCAAGATCAAGCGGTTCTACTTGGATGTGCACATTTCGTGGCAGGCGAGCTTTGGACACGTGGTTCATGTCCTGTATTTGGGAGAAGTATCACGCCAAAGCTCCGTTTTGGGATCTCAACCTTGTATGAGGAAGTTGTTTTTGTGGCAAAACCTTGATGAGCAGGTTTTGTGGCAGGCGCAGCACTTTGTGGACCCCCAAGTGCAGATTTCGTGGCAGGCGCAGCACTTTGTAAACCTCAAAGTGCAAATTGTATAGAAAACGCAACGCTTTCGTAGCAGGCACCGCCCTCTATGTAGATGCGCAGCACTTTGTGAACCTCGCTGCTGATTTCGTGGCAGGCGCACAGCAGTTTGTGGTGACTCTGCGCGATTTTCGCACGATTGCTCACCTATGCGAGGTCACAATCACGCCGATGTATGTGCACAGTCATGTGTTTGCTCACATGCGCGCGCACTCATATGCGCGCTCTAACGCACGTGGGCACTCACACATGCGCACTCTCCTGCGCGGTCTTTCTCGCACGTGCGTTACCACGTGGGTGCTCTCACATGCTCTTTGGGACTGGCGCTCTCATATTTGTGCTTCCCATACTTGTGCTTTCATATTTGTGTTTTCATGCGTGGAATGTCAAATTGATGGTCTGATCGAAGCACTGCGTTTCATAAGTGAAAAACACATAAAAACACGTGCAAGTGTTTTGTCCACAAGGACTTTTGCAAATCAACGAGTCGGAACGGCGTGTTGGGACCAAACGTCTGACGCTTGTGAATCACCCTCATGGGTTCTTATGGTTTGAACCCCGCTTGCATTGCTGTCCATACTTCCAATATTTTGAACACTTTTTCCACGACTTTGCGGGTTTCCTAAAACTCTCACACCCAATGGACAGCCACAAACCCTCAACCAAACATTACGTGCTCCAACTCCAATCAAAGTTAGAATTTAAAATATACAAATATCTGGCCCTGTCTCGTGGCACCGAATTGACAGACAGTCTAGCTGCAACCAAAATACGTTTCAAAACACCTGCCTCAAATCAACCATGTGGATCGAATATCTGCACATCGAAACCAACACCACAGTAGACATTGTCAACGCCTGGCACGTGTCAAAGCTGCAAAAACCATACACAAAGGCGCGTAATGTTCTACACGTTGTCCAAGTTCGTGTGCCTCTGCTTGTTTAATTGCGCAAGTATTTAAAAACTCCGTCAACAACATATGGTTGTGGGCCCCAGGCAGGATACCTCGGTTGAGGTCAACCTACATGGTAGACCTCCAGGCCTTGACCGATTCCCATATGTATGTTCTGCTGGAGCTGAGACCCTCAGCTCAATGGGTCAAGGTGCCCCCCTCCCAGGGAAAGAGGGTGAAATAACATACAGGAACAGGACCATCCCAACAAATAATTCGAGCTGCACAGCCACTCTCTCTTTTAGACGATGGCTGCTTCTTAGTTCTGATGAAGGCCCAAGGTATATCCCGTTCTTGAACAAAGGCTAGCAAGGTATGTATCTGTACATGTGGTTGCAGTGAGGCCTGCTTCGTACTCCTCCTCTGCTTGCTGAGCGGTTTCATCTCGAGTTCAGCGCGCAGCTTCCATGTCCCAAATTCGGGGTGGTATGTCACGGTACGTTGTTCAACATCCCATAGTATTGACTCTTCTCAAACTGGACACGCCAGGCTTCCACTTCTCGACCTTGCTCGATTCAAACTCTTGCCTGTTCTTCCAGCTTGTACAACTTGTCTTGAACTCTTCCATATAGGATTGCGTTCTGCTCTTGCGTTTCTACTAGGGCCCTGGTGTTTTCAGGCCCCTCTGTTCTCGAACTCCGGGGGGTTCTGGACGCTGGCCCCCTGGAAGGAACTGCAGCCAACAACATAGTGTCATGACCGCTGTACTGCCCACTTGCGCTTCAAAGATCCTGCAGGCTTCTCCTTGACAGGTGGTTTGCAGTGCTTGCTTCACTGATCCTCTCATACCACTGTCTCTGCGCGTTGTCCTCTAGCTGTACCCATCGTCCAACTTCGTCTTCATAGAATTTCGTCATCTGTTGTATGTGTACAGTTCATCTCGTCTCAACCTTCTCAATCTTGCTTTTACACTGGCGTCAAAGTACCATTGAATGGACGGCAAGAAGGCCTTGTTGATGTAGCTTGAGGAAGCTGCGAATATCAGATCATGAACGTGAAACATATTCAAAATGGTACACTCTTCAACCTTTCCCAGGCCCCTAGGCATGGACACTCTGCACTGAATTTGAAGGCTGACTCTCGACTGAGGAAGTCCGTGAAGTAGTCAAACCACGCCTTTGCTCCCTCTTTGTCCTCGCAAATTCCTCTTCACCAAGCACCCCTGTCCTCTCAACAACACTTTCAAAGGCTTCTCCTGACACACTTGCAGCAAGGCATCCGTCACGTCCAAACACCACCACCTGACTGAATTTCTCCTCGCCCAACATGCTTCTTCTTCTTCCTCACTCACCTTCCGAAGGCAAGCGGTGGAAAGAATGTTGAGTACATGTCCCAAGGTGGCTGACAAGAAAATGTCATCTCCTCGTCCTTCTGCTGCGAAGGAACTCGCTGGCTATACCAGTCTTGGTTGTCTCTTCCACGTTTACCATCCTGTCGACCCATTCTTCAGGATCATCTTCTGGCGCTTGATCTCCATCTCTCCATAGACATTCATGGTCATTGACATTCTCTTCCTCGTTCTCCTCAATCTCTTCCTCAACTCCCATCAGATCATCATCTTCATCCACATAATAAAGTGACTCTCTGCAACCTTCACCATATTGATGCGTGGCTTCTCGCGGTTTTCTTATGAATGTTTTTTCTTGGACTCTCCTCTAAAAAGTTCAAAGACATCTGTCGGCCTTGACGACGATGATGAAGTTTAAACGAATAGGCGCTGATGTAGGAGTCACTGGATTGGGCGTCAACTCTCCACTCGTTGCTCACATTGGCAACGCTTCAAATCGTCCGAGGTTTTATCACCTGCAAACACGACCTTTGGTCTCTTCTCAACCATGTCCACCTTCTCCTTCTCCACTCGGGACTCATCGCAGGGAAGAGGTTTCTAACACTTTTGCCACCGCCAACTCTGCACCCTCATGCCTGAATTTCTGGGTGGATTTCATTCTTCCCGGCTGGGAGGGCTTCTGCGCGTCTTCGGTGGCAACGACACATCCTCCAAAGTTGGCCTGATACTCCCACGAGAAGGCGTGGAAGCTCTTGTAGATGGGCAAATTCTTGGACCACTCCTGATCAGTTCTCCTGATGCGTTTGCTCAATCTGTGTTCCGTCTGTCAAGAGATGCCATCAAGCTTCTTGTTGTTGCTCGGATGTAGCCATGGACATGGTTCCCCACGCGCTGCAAGGCGTCCTTTGCACTGCTTTCCATACGCCAGTTCATATGGACTTGCTCCCTTCAACAGTTGGAATCTGTTCAAGCCCAGCTCGAAACTTCCTGCCAAGTTTCGAACTCGATACTCTGACAGGAAAGAGTGGCCGATTCAACCTGGTGGTAAGGCCCAAACTGTGTCTTGCATTGATCAATGGCCTCCGGTAGGTGATGGATATTTGGATAACCAAGCGCCAAGTGGGGCCACGTGAATGCACCCAGTTTGGCTGTCCATGGCCACCAACCAACACACTGCTTGTGAGCTTGTGTGGCCTCATCCGGTGTCTTGGCTACTGCTTGCCCAATTGCTTCTCTAGTTTCTCTTGACTTTGCTTCACTCATCAAACTCTCGGCGCTGGGTAGTTCCATCTTTTGGTTGTGATTGATGGTTCTCGCGTATACCTTGATCTTAGAACCACTGCCTGAAATTCTCAAGAAAGCACAAGCGTCGACAATGTTGATTCCTTAGTCAAGCCATTGAAGTGAACGTTGTCCACCAGATGTAGCACACATCCAGCTCCTCCTTCTTCTCGTCCTCTTTCCTCTCGTCTTCACGCATCTTTATCGGGGGGCTTGGTTCTACATCTTCCACTGCCTTCTTGGTCACTGCCTCCTTGATCACTTTCTTTCGATCTTCCTTCGCCTCCAACTTCTTGTAGCCTTCAACAAAGAATCCCATATCTTCTGGCGGTGCTGGCTCATAGCTAAGGATGGTTTCGGAGCTCATCAAGTTCCTCTTTCTTCGTCACCACCTCACAGTACTCAACCATGAACCGCCTCTCTCCTTTCCTGGTGGTGAGTGTGGTTCTCATCAAGTCGGGCGAGGTGTCAATCTCCTCTCCACAATCTGCTCCCTGGAAGATCGCTTTCGAACTGAAGATCGCATTCTCTCTCAGGATGACTTCTTTCCCTTCAACATCACGCAATGCTATCTCAACGCTCTTCATTCCTCCTGTAGGGATTCGCTTCCCTTGAGCGTCTTGAAGTCCAGGTTCAGCTCTCCTGTTCCAAACTCTGACGTACGCAAGGGGACTAGCGCCACATCAGCACCACTGCCGATGATGATTGAGGTTTCATCATGGAAACGTCTCACCTTCAACTCCTCAAAGCAACTTGAAAAGTCATCACCCTTCTCACATGCCTCCTCTTCATCAAAGTGTCAAAGAATGAATTCAGCGAAACTCCTCAATGTCGTGGCGCTGCTTACGTAGGTAAAAGACCGCTGGCCCATCTGCTGCAATCCTCCTCACTGTAGTGATGCTGCTGATTGCTGACGCACTGAAGCTTGTTGCTGAGACACTTTGTAGGTCTGCACTGAGCCGCCCGTAGACGGCTTCGAGGTGTGCACTGTCTCAGAGCAACTTGCCTCACATTGCGATTGCGCCAACAATCCTTGGTTATGTGTCCAACCCCTTGGTCTTTCCCTGCGCCTTCGCCCTTGTCGTCGTAGTCTTTGCCCTTCTGCTGGTCACCTTTTCTTTTCTTTCTTTTGTCCGTGGAATCTTTTCCCTTCCCGTTCTGACCACTGTCTTTTTCTTTTTTCCCTGTTCCGAGTGTCCTGCGCACCGTCAACGTCCATCGCATAGGGCCTCGGTAGTCACCGCTGCTGCTGCTTGCCATGATTGAAGCACCCCACTTACGCTGAGTTCGATCCCACTGTAGGACATGTTCCCTCATGCGGCTGTCCTCCATTACGTCGTAGAGGAGTGGCTGGCTTGAATTCCCTGTATTGCGGCGCCGTGGCTATGTTGTAGCTGCTCCCAACAAAGCAAGTCCTCTAGTCTTGGGCGTTGGCTTCAATGCTTTGTTCAACTATCTCCAGGCATCGAATCCGTTGGAACCCCGATCAACATCACAACTTGCAATGCTTGACCACGCATCAATGAAGCCAGTAGTCCATACATCTTGATAGACCTTGTCTTCTCTCCAGCATGTGCCCAAGTCCATGCCAAAGGTGTCGCTGGGCTTCTCACGGATTTCCTTCACGTCCTGAATGAATCCATCAATGGATGTATTGTACTTCTCAAAGACCCGTGACAATTCTCTAAAGGCTCTGATTTCTTCCTGGTTCTTGCAATCAAACACGTTGGGCTTTGTCAAAAGTTTCGACCAGTCCGTATTTGGACGCTTCTTTTTATCCAAGGTCTTTTTTACAGCGTTTGCTGCCTCTGCTGCTGCCTGAGTTGACTTTGCAATGTTTTCTAGGACATGCCTTGTTAAAGATCTTGCCCCAATGGGCGCACCTAGTCCAAAGCAGTTATACTCGTTTTCATCGTTGTTTTCTGTTTTTCGGTCCTCTTCCTGGAAGGTTAGAGCTTGTGAAAGAGAACATGTCACACAAACGTCACTATGCCTTTACCCTTTGCAATAGTCGTATGTCATGGACGGTTGTGGACTCTCTTGCTCGATGTATGGGGTCTGATGATGACTTAGGACTTAGGACTTTTGCCTGTTTCAAAAACCAATGCGCGAGCCACACAAGGCCGCTGAAATGGAATGCATGACTTAGGCTTTAAGCGCCGACACGACAGGAGTGCAGTGAGTACGGTGTTTTGACGCAAACAAAGAAACAGGTGGTTCAAAAGCGATGACCTGGGCTGTGAGTTTCTGTAGAACCAACCCTTTTCTCCAATGTGGGTTGCAGGACGGCGCAAAGGACGCTGCTGCTGCAGGTAAGCGTGCTTTTGAGATGCGATTTCTGCTTCGGTGAAGATGATTAGGTGCACAGCGCACACAGTCCTAAGACATAGGACTCCCTCTTGTTCATGGCTCCACCCCTCATACCAGTGTGGGTTGCAGGACGGTTCCAAGGATGCTTGGCAAGCCAAGTCGGCAAACAGAAGGAGACTAGTTCTAGTTATAGTTGCGGTGATTTTTTTAGTCTGATGTCTGTTTAGGTGAGAGATTGGATGCAGAGTGCCCACAAGTCCTAAGTCGTTGGTACTTGAAAACCTCAAGGTTTGATCGAGTTTTACAAAGGGAGAATGCAAAACGGCTAGAGAGTTTGTAGGGATTGTGGACGAAAAGGTTGCTGACCCAACACTCTATAAGCATAAATGCAGCAAGGCATTTGGCAATGTGACTTAGGCCCCTGTCCTGAATCTTTGAGCGCACCTGACTATGTCATTGAAGTTGACCTCTATGTGTTTTTGCACTCAAATTCCTATCTCTCCGGTGCTTTTCCATGGCTTAGACACCAAGTCTTAGGTCATGACGCTTGTCAATGTAAAATCAACGATTTGACAGATCGTTGATGATATGTTCTGACATCTCTGATTTTGAGGTTTTAGCTTCATGACATAGGAGTCGGGGAAACCTCATGACTTAGCCACAAAAAAGTGGAGGTACTTTTCACAACTCCTTTGTCGTTTCACCCTAGTATAGATCTCGTATTGGGCCCCTGCACCTATCTCATCCTGACCTCAATGTACGACCAATGTTGCAGAACCTGTATTGTCAATGTGTTCAATGCTCAATGTCCAATGAACCCAGCCCTCTTTCCACCACACGCACAGCCAGCACCAGCACCCGGCACTGGCACCCTGTCTCCACTACGCGCACAGCCAGCACTAGCACCCGGCACCGGCACCACAATCTCCACCACGCACACAACAACGAGCACCAGCACCCGGCACCGGCATCCAGCGCCGGCAGCCTGTGTCCGCCACGCGCGCAGCCAGCGCCAGCACACAGCACCGGCACACCAGCTCACAGCACCCAGCACCAGCACCCAGCACCGGCACCCAGTCTTCACAGCCCGGCACCCTGTCTCCACCACACGCACAGCCAGCACCCAGCACCGGCACCCCGCACCAGCACCACAGCCAGAGCACACCGGCACCCTGTCCCCACCACGCGCACAGCCAGCTCACAGCACCCAGCACCAGCACCACAGCCAGCACCGGCACCCTGTCTCGAGAGCGCGCACAGCCAGCTCATTGTTATTTGAAGTAAGAACCCCATAGCTGTCGCTCTCTGGGGAAAAGCATCAGTTTTTTGAAAATGAGAAGCAGCTAAGCGGAGGGGAAGACTGAGACTGTGACAGCAACATGGCAAATGGCCCTCATCAGTCAAAGTTGTGGGTGTGTTTTCCACTTATGCCGAGCCTTCTCTGCTTGTAAGTAGAGATTGGGCTCTGAAAAGCACTCCCCCTACTCCAGCGGAACCTTGTGGTAAATGGTTCCATTTGGATCGAGGCCAAGCAGGCCTGCACTACTGCTGGTGCGTTCCAAGAGGATGCCAGGTTCTACCCGCCCCGAAAGAAGTCTGTCAAAAAGAAGTCTATCAAGGTCGCTTTCACGGCGCACACGAGCGAAAGGATTATCGATTCACGTCCATCACTACAGCCATGAAGTGTGACCTCTGTACCCCGCTCAGGCTGAGGGGGTAGGCTCACATGGGCCAAGCAAGCTTGCAACTGGCGGTAGAGAATCAAAACTGAACAAGGTCGAATTCTTGAAGTACAACACAATGATGAAACTTCCTCCCTGTGACAACAATCGGACTAGCGCCTCTTTGGTCTGTCGGAGTGTCAAAGATGCTGAGGCCAGTCTTACTTGCAAGCCCGAGAAACCACTACATGCCTGCCCCGCCTCTCTGCCTCCTCTCTCTCTCTCTCTCTCTCTCTCCTCTCTCTCTCTCTCTCTCTCTCTGTGTTCCGCATCCCTCTTCCCACTCCTCCCCCTCCTTCTTCTACTGCTGCTAGCTTTTCATTTAGGAACCCTGCATAGCACAATGCCTGTCGCGCAAAGAAAGGCAACCAACATCTACGCATCTCGTTCGAGTCATCACGGAAGTTGATTCTCGGATACATTACTTGACCCGCGCCTGTGCAATTGTATAAATGCATGCGTGGAGGCCACGAGGCAGCCACGAGGCAGCCACGAGGCAGAAAATGTGAGTGAGATCGCGCCTCAAAAAGGATCCATGTAAAGAATGTGGAAGATCTTGACCTTGCCACGGGGGAGCAAGGCCCCACCCACCGGAGGATGCAATATCTGTCCAGTGGGAACCGCACGCCACACTGTAGAAATAGTTCAGTGCGAGAAGGTCACAGCCTGCAGAAGATGGACTTTTGGCTGGCGGGTTCGAAAGCCACACTCTGCCTAAATTGTCAAAAGATTAGCCGGCAGCCAATGTGCTACCGTGCTACCGGAATAAAAGGCTTGTTGGGAGCAGAAACTCCGGCCTAGCAGTAAAGCCATCAACCCAACTAGCTTGACGGTGACAATCAGCCTGGGTACGCCAACCTTAGCACAAAACACAAAACACGCCTGGAAACTCTCCAATACAGGAACACATTCAGCCAGCCTCAAACATATGGGAGACGCGAATCTGAGTGGTGAGATGGAAAACCTGGTGACACGCAAAGCTACTTCTACCCTTCCCAGATCACTGCAAAGCACTTTGCCTCTTGCAACACCTGCACTGAGAGAACTGTTGTGGAGCCTTCATGAATATAACGCAGCAAATGTACTGGATCAAGAAAACAGTTCCGACCTCGGCAGGATCTATCGAATTCTCGATCCAAACAGGCAACTACAAGAAGCGGTGCCTCACGATTGTCTATTGTGGGAGCATAGAACACCAAGAAGAGTATGGTCTCTGCCTTAGTTCCAGCGGCCACCTTCACTGCTGCCTGTCCGTTTCACAGCCAAAATGAGAGCCCTACCAAGAAACCACGGCCTGAATCAACCAATTGCTCTACCTGTTCAATCTTTTTTGAATCACACAAAATGGATAAACAGACTGCGTGAATTGACATACTGTAACTGGTAGCTGCCAGCCTCGACATCTCGAAGAGTTCCAATAAATATCCGGAGAAGGATTTTTCCAAATAAGAGGAACAATGCAAACCTGCAAGCCACAAGCTCTCAGACACGCCCCGCAGCGAAGATATCTCTGGGAAAGTGGCACGAAATTGTACATCACCGCCAAGCAGATCTTGTCAGTGGACAAGTAGATGACTGCAGGGTAGAACTGCTCATGAACAGCAAATGCCTCAGCCCCAGCTTTTCTGTCAAGGTTGTCTTGCAAACAAATCCAGGCAGTCAAGGGGCATGCGCCACTACTCCTAAGACAACCAATGTGCTCAGAACCACGTAGGAGGTGAAGTTCATCTCCTTGAATCAGCCCGTCCCAAAATCTCCCTGATGTGTGAATCACTTGCACAGGCTTTACACTTTGGGGCCTCACGGCATGGGCTCTCCAGCAAGCACGTACAGTTCAGCAGTGTTCCTATCCCAACATGTTTGTGATGATTATTCTGAATTATTCGTGTAAAGGACAATCTATTGCTTGGCTTGGACGGATCAAAATGCATGGGTCTGATGCAGGATGTATAAAGAGCCACTTGATCAAAGATTCTTAGAACAAGTGTTGTTTGACCATTTTTTGGCTGCTCGTTGTTGTCTCTTAACATGGAACTCTGGACTCTTGCAGTTGGGTCCTCTTGTCTTTCAAGCTGCGACCCGCAAGCCCGTGCTACTACCTCCCCCACTCCGAGGAGCAACTGATCAGTTGAAGCTGCGTAGAAAATGAAAAATTAGATGCCAACGGTGGCCAGCCACAACACGTTCCCTTCTAAAGCGCAACCATTGTTTTTTGAAAAATAAGAACCTACAATGCAGCAAGTTTCAGTGTTGTAACCGATGGGGAGCCCAAAGCTAGTAAGCCATCAACCTCACAACCAAATAGAATCACACGAAAAAAACAAAAAAATCAATAATTTGGTTGCGTTTAACTTTTCGGATGTTTCCAAATTTTGGATTGCGGCTTCAAATGCAATGTGTTTCCTTGATTTGTTTACCTTTCCGCATTTCGACGTTTTTGGCGCATGTTTCCCAGAGCTGTCGGGTTGATTAAAATGCAAGGCGGGCGCTTTGCGAAAAATCTTTTTAAATACATGTTTCCAATTTGTCGTTGTTTTCGTTTTTCAATTTTTATTCCGCGTCTTTGCACTGTTCGGCCTTTTTGATTTTTTTAAATTTTGCACGTTTCGACGTTTCGGAGTGTTCACACTTTGCGATTTTTCAGTTTAGTGCCAAACATTTGTTTGAATTATTGATTTTTGGCGCGTTTCAATTCTTGACTCTTGGTACTTTTTGCATGTGTCCACTTTCAAATTTAATTACCAGCTGGTTGTTGAGTTTGTTTCAAGCTTTTCAACTTCCAAAACCCGTTTGCTGTCTTTGGTTGTGTCGTTTTTGATTGTGTAATAAAAAGATACACTATGATATGCCCTAAAACATTGCAGAAAATCACTGCACATGCGCTTTAGATGAACAGATATATTTTAAAGGCGTCACGGCAGGCCTACTTGACCAAATTGCACTTTTGCAACAACAAGTGACAACACTGGGGAATTGGAAGTAGCCCCGGCTGAGTCATGTCAGAGCAAGGGCGAAGCTGCGCACTTTTGAGTGTAAAAATGGTCTGCGATCAACCACAACGTGTTCTCACGTCGTTCCATGAACTCCTGCTCACACCTGAAGCAAAAAGCGAGTGTTCCGCCTGCACTCCCCCTTTTTGGTGCTCAAGACTCGGCTCATCATCAACCAGCTCATACTCACCATCGGTCAAGGTGTCACGTGTCACCGCCCCCACCAATCTCACCTTCAGGTGGCACATTGCTCTCCATCAGCATAGACAGCGCAAATTAGGTCAGCTGCATTGGGCCACCCGGTGGCCTAAAGGTTGGCGTCGTCTGGATTGCCAAAAGCCCCCGCGCCTTTCCTCTTGCGTGCCCATTGCTCCTCTCTGCGTTTGCCCGCCGGCCTTGCGGTACAAGGTGCTTCCCACCTGGACAGGATCTTGCACTGGGCATTGATGCCCTGCTTCATGGCCCAACCTAAGGTATTTGGATATCCCATAACGAATGCTTCGTAGCGGCCGCGATGGCTTTGTCGGTGCAGCCAACACGTCTTCAGTCACCCCCCTTTGACCTTGGTCTGCAAGTCGGAAAATTTTTGGGAACAGTTTCGCCTTGGCAGCGCCATCGGCCGGCGCCGTTACTGATGGCGCAGGCATTGGTGAAGAACGCGCCGCGTTGGACGCTCTTCTGCCCGGCTCTGCATCTTGTTCTGGGCCCTGGTGGCAGCACCGTCCTCACTTTTTCAAGCTGCAATTTTTTTCCACCCTTCCCAATCTTGTCTTCTTTTGTCCCGCCACAGGTAAGGGATTGGGCTTCTCTCAACATCCGCCTCCTGAATCACTTTCCACCAGGACACCCCAGCAGTAGCACAACAATGACCTTCTTCCGGCAGAGGCGGACGATGTAGTCCGCCTTGGCTCCAGTGACCTTGAGTCATCAACATACGTGCCGAGGTAGCCCTTGGTCTCCCCCTGTTCGTTGACGATTTTCCATCTATTGGCCTCTGCAAGTTGTTCCAGGCGGCGGCGCTGCACACTGTTTCTGCGATGTGGCAGGCGACTCCCGACCACAGCCCACACAGCGCTTTGAGGTAACATGCCAAGTTGCATAACTAACAGCGGTGGTTTGGTGGAGCTTGTGGAACGCAGACTTGATGTCCATGCCTCAAGCCGACAGCGCCCAACCCCAGCTGATGTAGACTGACGTCCCAAAGTTCCCGCGCCCACACAATACCAGCCTTCCGCCTCCCACAAGGTGCTTTTGCGACTAGTTTTCTGATCTTAATGCACACCCCCGAATCCACCAAAACCCTCATCTCCGTATATGACTTGAACCAGCGTCCCCGTTGACTCGCTTGCCACAATTGCCTTCAGTCTCGCGCGAGATGCCTTTTCACTTTCAACCGGCACTCCGCGACGCCATTATATATGCTCATGGGACATTTGAAATGCCAGGCGCAAGCTCGCTGGGGTGATTTCCTCCGCTTCTTTACTTGTGAATCCATCCCCCCATGTTGGACAGACCCTGTGACACCATCCTGCAAGACTGTAGGGCTGGACGACGAAGCCTCACCTGTGCTCCACGATATCCTCTGAAGTGATCTCGGTGAGCAAGCTGTCATCCAAATTATACGGGGCCTTTCTCTCCACCTTCTGGTGATGGAGGCTGGTCAACGTCGTCAAAACAGCCACGCACCTTCTGGGCGTCCTCCAGGAAGATGCCCTGCTGCACCAGTTCTCAGCACCAAGCATCACCTGTGCTTGTACCATGGGGACCGTCCTCATGCCTCAATGCGGTGGGCCAGCTCACTGTTGGCAAATGCGCCGACTGTGGCAAAACTCTTGTGGCATTTTTGGGAACACCCGCGAGTTCCCTGTGGCCTCATCACTGGCCGTGAAGTGGTGCTCAAGTTCTCACTGCACTGAACCTTTCAACACAAATTTGGCCCTGTCCGTTTTCAGTGCAAAAACTGGAACTTGTAACACTCGAAGTCGTGCAAATAGTTTGGCCACTGCGGTGGTGACGGTCCTTTCCTTTCGGTGCAGCCAATGTCAGGCGTTGCACATTCACAATGCTACTGCAAACCAATTGCCCGTAAATGGAGGTCTAGTTTAAAGTTGAAAGCAGGGGTAGAATACCTTAATATGAAAAGAGATTGCCTGCTGAACATGTGCATGTGAATGTATTGTTCACGTGTACTCAGAATTCCAGCGCAGCGGGAAATGTGTCTGAATTTGATGACGCGGGTTTACGGGTTTACGCGGGTTCACGCGGGCTTACGCAGGTTTAGGCGGGTTTACGGCCTTACGCGTGTTTACGGCTTTACGAGGGTTTACAGGTTTGCAGGGCTTAGAGATGTTTACGATTTGCGGCGTGTAGTCGTTCTATCATGTCTTCGACATCAAGAGGGCATCGTTTCTCATCTGTGTAGAACTTTTTTAGCTATAAGTATCTCTGAGTTTCTTTTGTCTTTGTTATACGGCGTCATGGCCGACAACCCTTCAAAAGACTAAAGACCGACGAGGTTGCAAAAACAACGACGACTATGGAAAACGCCGACAATCGACGATCTTGAGGAACCATTGGTTTGAATGGACATGGGGGTGGAAATGGGATGTGAACATAGGCCTTGACAAAATACTAGACGACCACAACGGGATGTACAACAGTTTTAGGTCTGTGCGTTAGGAATTGTCGGATTGCATTTTCTCAGGAAAACCTTGTTATCCTTTTAGATAGGTCAATAAATTCAACGGAATCACACGTTGATATGCCATCGATTTGTGACCTCTACTTGGGAAACGCCGATGCCATCAACCACTTAAGGCTCTCTTGCGGCTAGAATTCCTGGAACAAATAGATGACATCTATATAGCAAGATATCAAAAATGCGACGTCCTTCAAAAGGCACCAGCCAACGGGTGGATTTTCATGCAAACATGTGCGCAGCAAACAGGTTGATGGCTTGCACTGAGCACCACTTGGTTTGGCACCATGGTGATGCTGAAAATGCGGATGTCCTTTTTGAACACCTTTCAGTACAAAAAAATATGTTTTTTTGTCCTGAAAATTGTTCAAAAAGGACACCTTTGGGATGTTCGTGATGTCGGCTTTGTCCTTTGCATTTCTCACATCCCTTGACTTGAACGCATTCTTCCAGAAACAACCTTGAAAAAGGTTATGCTTGACATGAACCTCTGTGAATCTCGCCAATACTGGGCAGTAAACCCTATGCGGTCGCAATGTAGAACGCTCCCAAGTGACCTACCTCTCAAGTGATCTACCGCTCTCAAGTAAACCGGTGTAAATCGGTGTGAATCGGTAAACCGGTGTAAACCGGTGTCGTCAAATACCAGTTACCAGACGCACGCGATGCCCAATGCAGACTTCCCTGCTCCTCCTCAAGGCGAGAATGTAAATCCTCCCCGCCACTGAAGACTTGTACTGCAACCCCCAAGGCCTCTAATACTAAACTCCTTCTTGAATCAAGGCACCAAACAAACCACATTTGCTAATGATACCTTGATCATCCTTGATCATTCATATGACATTTGGAGGATCAGTCAATGGACGGTTGATGAAGAATCCTTTTCAATAGACATAGCTGCAAGACATATGCCCTCTCTCCTGATTTGACTCCATAGTTTGTGTATGTTTCTTCCTCCGAAGGGGCATCCCCTTTGTGACCGTGTTGTCTTCCTTGACAAGCTTGCCTTCTCGTGCAAGTTTCCTATCTCACAGGATCTTTCGACAAGGTCTCCACCTTTGAGTCTTGATGCTTTGGATATAGGATGATCTGCTCGCGAAATGTGTGTCGACCAAAAAGAAGGTGTCCTCTAGGGTCAAGGGTAACTTGCTTCTATGTATACAGA